CTACTCAAGAAACATCCTATCAAAAAATTAAAGAGATAAATAAGAAAAGCATCAACTAAACAAGCTTCATCTGGTTTACAGAAACAAGACACTGCAATCTTGAGATCCCTAATATCCTTTAAAACACATACACAACCATATCAAAAGTTCATAATAAAGGAGAAAATTATAACATACTATGACCCTTCTACCAACCTGGATGGATAGTCTAGCTTGGGTGGTTCAGACTTCTGGATCTTGAGCATAACACGGACGGGTGAGACTTCATGATTTGGCGGATCCATCTGTGCAAACTCTATTAACGATATACCAAGTGACCATACATCAGCCTGAAAGAAATTAAACAGAAGGTCATTTCAACCTACCTACAGAGAAGTCTTTCCTAATAATCAGTTTCATTATCAGTTTAAATATAGTATGCTATCAACACGTCATACATTTCAGGCAAAACAAAACATATCCACAATACATAAGAACATCTAGCCTTTTATATTAAACAATTTGTTGATGTGTATGTAAAATTCTTCCTAAGTTTCAAATAACTAAATGGAATAAATAAATGAAGCATTTTATAAAAAAAAATCATTATTCCACTATACTAACTTTAAAAGCCATTTTAAATCTACAACACTTATATAATTTTCTTTCTTTCTACTTTTACATCTAAATGAATGATAAATCAAAAATAATAATAACTATACAAATATTAACAATTATCACTTTTACATACCTTGTAATCATATTTGGCATCAATAAAAGTTTCACAAAGAATGACTTCTGGTGCTAGCCAGTAAGGAGTTCCAATGAATGTCCCTCTCTTGTCATATGTGTTTTTATTTTTGGCAGACACTCCAAAATCAGCTGAAAAAAAAAGTATATATATTATTTACATATATAAATGTGTGTAATTATATACACACTTATGTATGTATACATATATATTGTGTTATATAAATGTATATAAATGTGTGTGTGAATACATATATATCATATATACATTATATTATATATATATATATATATATATATATATATATATATATATATATATATATATATATATATATATATATATATATATATATATATATATATATATATATATATATATATATATATATATATATATACATATACATATATATATACATATATATACATATACATATACACATATGTGTTTGTACATATGTATGTTCATATATAATTATATATTATATACTATACATTATACATTATATATCATATATCCTATATTATATAACATACATATCATATATCATATATCAATACCATACCATTTAATAAAGTAGCATACCTAATTTCACTCCACCATCCATGGTTAGTAGCACATTACCCGCTTTCAAATCACGATGGATCACCTAGTAATTGTTAAAAAAAAAGGTTTTAAAAAATATTGCTATCTACTACTGTTCCCCTACAACTACTAAAATATAATGCATAAACCAGGTATATATTCATGATCTTATTTATAAAAGCACCTACTAAACATATGATCATTTTGAAAGACATAAAACCAAGACCTGAAATACATACCTTATTACTATGTATGTATACTAGTGCTCTACAGAGATATTTACAAACATAAGCTATCTGAGGTTCTGTTAGTGGTCTGTCCAAGTCCACCATAATGGAGTCCATGGCACCTCCATCACAATACTCAAGATACATCTGTAATTCAGAGAAATGTTTAACATTATGTCATTTACTAAAATCTGGAAAAGGACTGGAAACACTTGATTTCGTTACCTATATGCCATTTCACTGCCACTTTAAATGTAATATCATTAAAGAACTTTGCTGAAAGGTTTACTGAAAATGCGCCTCATAAGGCCTTCCTTGCAACTGATCTTGGGAATTAAAAGTTCTTTCACATCATAAATATAATCCATAGGAACAAAAAAAAATATTTCATCATACAAGTCCTTGATAGGTTACTCACCCAAAGTTTCCCATCAAAATGATAAGCTTCAAGTAGTTCAACAATATTTTCATGTTTGCATTCTGAGAGGATGTCAATCTCAATCATGAATGTTTCAAGGTCTTCTTCTGCTTCCAGCACCACCTGCTTAAGGGCAGCATACTGCTTTGTCTCCTTGTGTATAGCCTGGAAAATTGTATTTGAAAAAAGTTAAAACTCTATTTTAAAAATCACAGTAGTAGTCAGTATATGGTAGAAAAGAAAGTAACAATATAGATTAAGTAACAATATGAAAGAAAACAAAACATATATTAGCAAAGAAAAAAAATCAAAAACATATTCCAAAATATTTCAATTACCTTGTAAACTTTTCCGTAGGCTCCATCACCCAATTCTCCCACAATATCCCAAAAGTCTTCTGGGTTATCAAGCCGCACATTATGGAAGAGTTTTTTCTTTTTTGCAGATGAGCCACCTTTGAAGATGTCTTTGAATTTCGAGATGAGTGGCATTGTTCCAGCTGATGCTTGATTTAGATCACATGGTATTCACTTCACTCTGAAGTAATAAATAAAAAAGTTATAACATATTCATGTATAAACACAAAAGTATTAATAAGTATATTCCTTACAACATACATAAAAACAAACAAACAAACAAACAAACAAACAAACAAACAAACACACACACATATATATTGTATAAAATCTAAATGTATAAATTTTGGTCTTGTCGTTATCACATCTGACATTTCTCTCTAGGCCTAACCATGCTATCCCTATTGATCAAATCCTACTGGATACATCTCTTAAACCCACTACCTGTACATATCAAATCTAATTTATCATTTGCCTTCTATATTCATCCATGGATACATAAGATACCTCACCTGAAAGATTATGAGCTGCAATCATTGTCCCTTTTCAATGAACTTTCTTTACCAATCAGATATAGACCAACTGAATAATGGCCTGTAGTACAAATAACTACTACAAGTGTGATTCCCAGCACAACTATGCAAGATTTTTTGATTAACAATCTCCAACATACGGCCAACAATGTGGTATCTCTAAGCCCTTTTATAAAAGAACATACCATACTCATGTATTCACATCCTGTATGATAAAAAATCAACTTGGGATGTTTTTGTGGCTGAAAGGAGAACACTAGCTATTTGCTATATTCTATACCAGTACGAATGTATCAGTTTGGTGCTGGGAACCAAAAATTTATACAACTACCTTCAGATATTAACTAGCATATAATATGCTAATCTTAAATGACATTTTTAGGCTTCATCTTCTGAATAAAACGTGTTTCTTGTGGTATAGGAAACATGAAGATGAATGTTACACATGATGAGCTAGGCTGTGAAAGAATTTGTTAAGTATTTTTTCCACTAAACAGAATGCCTAATCCAGTCACATCGTTCATGACAGGATTTTCTAGGTAAAACCCAATGTTTTGTGTCAAGTATTGTTCACCTCTCATATGCTGTGAGTAGTGGGTTGTCAAAATGGAAACAAAATATAAAGTGACTAAGAGATCTCCATAAAACATGTAATTCACAGATACATCAAACACATTAGGTGAAGGGGTACAGTGATCTGTAATCAATTATACAGCAAATCGCAAGCATTTTTGTCCACTGGGCAAGTCAAAGAAAGGTTATATACTCTTGCTAGAAGTTATACTAGGGTTATCACTGAGAAGGGTGAATTGTATCTTATAAAATTTAAATGTCTTGTTCTCTTTTGTTCCCTTCAAGTAATATGTTACATAAAGAAAAAAAGGGCAAGTATCTCTACCTCTTTTCATTATTTCCTTATCTAAAATGTAATTCTACCATTTTATCAGGAGTTCATGACACAGGAGTACAAACATTCAAAATCCTCCCTAACCATCCACAAAAATCTGGTGACAAGAGTGAAATGACAAACAGCAGGGACACCCCCCTCCTATATATACTAAATACAATCTATACTATAGCTCAACTACTACCCTTTTTACTTGTAATCTGGCACTGATTTCAACTTTCCTGGGCTACTGTACTTTCAAATCCTGAATTAATCCAAGGTACCTAAGTGAATTCATATACCTATCAAATGCACCTATAACCCATTCGCGACGGGTATGTTACGTAAACGTGACATGCACACTGTGAGTTTACTTGTTTGATTGTTTACACACATAGATGGCTACACTTGTAATAAATCACCAATGAGCCAATTACAAGTACTGCCTGAATCGCCCATTTACCCTTTTCTTTGATTTACAGGAAATTTACCTTATCTTATTTTGTTATTAGTATTGTTTATAACACTACAGTAATTATAATGATTATAATAAAAATAACACCACTGATATTCATAGTACTAGTAAAAAATACATTTTCCCGCAAATTTAACCCCTTGGTGCCGGGTGACGCCGATCGGCGTGTAAACAAAGAGCTCGAAAGCTGGCGTGCAGCCAAACGAACCGGCGGCGCGCCAAAGCGCGGCGAGCCAGTGATTCGGGCTGATGTCCCCTACTCACGCGCTCAAAGTCGGCGCGCCGCCTTTGTTTGCTTAAGCGTAGAGTTTTTTTGTTTTTTTTTGTACACCCGGCGCCATTGGGTTAAGGAAAGGTGAAATCAAGTAAGGCAGAGCCATCTGTGTGTAGAGACATTTTACAAAAAATATAAAAAATGAGCACAGCATTTTCCCAATTTTTTGTTCATCTTCCAAGTCGCAATTGGGTTAAAGCCTATTTTAAAACTAGTCAGATGATGAATATTAATAACAGTCTAAGCTTTTCAGTTGGTTATTCTCACTGCCAGTCATAGCTGAGTCAAGTATCCTTCACAATTATGCTCAAAGGCTTTGAAACTAAGAACAAGTTATTGCATACTATTTGCAAAGTATTGGCGATTTGCTGTATACCATGTACACTTTCAACTTTCAAATGAATCCATATTTTCTTTCCTTTTCTAATTTTATCAAAATGGCTAAAATATCAGAACCAAGTCTGTCTTCTTTTTCAATGCAACACAGTTCCCTATTTTATAAACATCTATTCT